AGTGCCTGTGAAAAAGACTTCCTTTTTTGGGGGTTGTAGTTTGTTAAGTGAAATAAATACTATATATTTTTTAAAAACTTTGCATGTGGCATTAGGATTATTATAATAATCTCTCAATTAGTTCATGACCAGAATAACTTTTAAAGAAGTAGTTCAGTTTAATGGTAATTTTTTATCACTAACTTCTCTGTTAACTCTTCATTCAGCTTAAAGCTCAAAATGATCAAGAAACACAAAGTATGGATATCATATTTACTGAAAGACAAGTGTAAGTACAATCCATTTAGAAATCAAACATTTTTAAGGAGCTGAATTAGGTAGTCTAACTTTGAAGTCATTTATTTCCTTACAAATTTTCTCAGTTTTTCCTTGCATTTTTTTTTTTTTTTAAGTAGGCTCCACATCCAGTGTGGAGCCCAGTGCAGACCAAAACTCATGACCATGAGATCAAACCTTGAACTGAGATCAAGAGCTGGATGCTCAACTGACTGAGTCACCTAGGCACCCCTTCCCTTGCATTTTATTTTAAAAAGCTGAATATTTGCAATACAAATTTTATTATTTAAACATGTTATTTTCATTGATCATTAAGTATCCAAATCCTGGATAAATAAAATTACTACATAGATTAGATAAATAAAATTTCTATTTCAAGTAGTTTAAAATCTAAGATGGATAAGAACATCTTCATCTCTGCCATTTACAATTTTAACCTGGGCTTTTTAACTAGTTTGAATTAGGAGATTCAAGGCCCAGTCTAATAAAATGTACATTATTAGTGAGCTGTTTACATTATTTCATTATTCAATTATTAATTTCTAATTGATAGTTATAGTAATGCATATATGTGTATACATCTTTTTATATAACATGGTTAAAGACCCAATAGCAAATAATTTTGACTTTGGTAATAAGTGGCAGTGTGGCAGTGACAAAGGCCTACAAAGGTAATAGGTAGATGTGATGTAGTTGTCTTAGTCCATTTGGGCTGCTAAAACAATATACCATAAACTGGGTAACTTATAAACAATAGGAATTTATTGCTCACAGTTCTAGAGGCTGTGCAGTCCAGGCTCAAGGCACCAACATGGTCCCATTCTGGTGAGGTCCCTCTTCCTGTTCATACCAGGCATCTTCTTGCTGTATACTCCCATGGTAGAAGGGGGTCTGTGGGATCTCTTTTTATAAGGGCACTAATCCTATTCGTGAGGGCTCCACCCTCACTACCTAATCACTTCCCAAAGATTGCACCTACTAATACCATTACCTTTGGGGGCTGGGATTGCAACACAAATTTTGAAGGACATAAATATTCAGATAATAACAGTAGTTAACAGAATTATCTTCATTGATTGGGGGCCTTAATTAAATATTGTCTAAGGCAATGCAAACATAAAATATAAGCTATTTTGTATACACCCACCCCATACATATTTTGTCTCAGAATTTTATCAGTCTTAATCTCTGAGAGCAAGGATAATAATTAATCAAAATTACTTAAATTCTGTAACACCAAATATACTGTTCTGTTACTTATGCATATAACGTAAATATTTGATGAAGAATAGGATGTTAACATGTAATGGTAAAACACTTGAAAGATAAATGCAATTTTTTTGTTGATTACAAACAAAGGAACCTCTTTTTCCCTTATCTATCATTTGATACTGCTGTAAAGTGCTGCCTTAAAAATTATAAATACTGGAAGTCCTTCCCATTTACAAAGAAAATTACATATTCATGGTGACCAAGCTCTTACTTGAAAACTTTCTTTTTTACTGTTCTGATTTTGAACCATTTAACAAATATTTATCATTTACCATACATAAAATAACTCCCCTAGGTACCTAAAAAGTAAATAATGAACTGTAGTCCATTGAACACCTAACAGAGTTTAGAACATTAAGGTCCTCATTTATTTCATCTGCAGTTATATAATATTCAGGTCAGATTTATAAATATTATATGTGTATGTATTATATATATTTCATCCAGAATGATAACTCACAGATTATAAATTTAAGACTGTCTTAGACTTTTAAGTCTATTTGGTTCATTTAGTTAAGGAAAAAGTTCTTAAAATCTGGTGGTTTGTCCTGAAATGTCAGCAGTTTCTTAATGTCTGTAGTTTGTAATTGAGGCTGAGTGTATTTGGTTCTCCTGACCCTTCTAAGCAGAAAATTGAATTAAGAACAGAAGTTATCTTCATGAAGTTTACTTTTATATGCAGTAGGTGAATAGATTTCATGCGTTAATCAGATGGCCAACATCTCAGTAACACAAAGGATCTACCTTGGCTACTCCCTTGGCTATTCAAAGGGAGCTGGTAATGGCATACCTTGAGAAGGCAGGTCCAAAAAACTTCATTCTTTTCTCTTTTAGTATGGCCATTTAGTGTGGTATGACTAAACCATCTGGTTTATTATGGAACATCTATTCATAATAAGTTAGTTATAGTGTAGAGCCTTTAACATATTACTGTAACATTATACTTGGTTTTAATTCAATTTCATATGCCAGCATTCAGTTATTAGAGGCTCAAGAAATTAGATGTAGTCTTTGCTCATTCATAATTATATTTCACTTTACTACATTTTTCAAATATTAATATTTGCCTCTTAAATTAGGAAATGATATTTTGGTAAAATAATTATTTAGAAAAAGCATTTCATTTCCATAATTATCTCACTTTTATAATCAAGATTTAGAACAATAAAGTAAAATTGATATTGTCTAGTAAGAAATATTACATGTAAAACATTTATATCCTTTATTGAAAACATGTTTCTATAAACACAAGCAAATATGCATTATAAATGAGTCAGTTCTATTTCACAGGGTATATATCATCCTAAACAGTTTTTATTTCCCTCAGTAGACATTTGAACTGAATTTACTATTGATATGACCTTTAAAATGACCATTTTGCAGAATATAACATACATATACATTATTCTTAGACTCTTTTTTCTGAGAAACTATCAAGTACATGTGCATTTTAAAAACCTTATTATAAAAAAATTTGAACATACAAAAAAATAAGTGTTATTATATCATCTCCCAGCTCCATCTCCCAGTTCCATCAGCTCATATCCATTCCTCCTCCATATAGACATGTAGGTACTACTCCCCTGTATGATGATGAAGAAAATCTAAAACATCATATTATTTCATCCATAAATGTATTTTATTATAGTGTTTTAGAGATACTCTTTTCTCTAAAGGATATAAATACAGTTAATTTTCACTCCTCTGCAGGGTAAAAATAATGGATTTCATTACAATTTTTAACGCCACTGTTTGCATTGTTAAAATTTTGATTACAGCCAATTGATTATAAGGAATTAGTAAATAATTAACTTCAGACTCTTTCTGTAATAGTCTCAAGGTCATTGTTCAAACTGTTTTTGGATCATTATTGTGCTATGAACTCACTGTAGGCATACCTCAAAGAAAGGGTTTTGTTGTCCAGTAAGTTTGGAAAATTCTTAATACTTGGTTCTTGAAGAGCAGAGAGCACTTTAGCTTATTAGAATCTTGAATAAGTCCTATGGTAAAGACTCTTATTTCACTTTGTTTAAACTCAGTATTTCCTATAGTAATTCTCTAGTACTTTTACCATGTACTGTTTTTCCCCCTGTAAATACTTCTGATCATTTCCCTGGAAATTAATATTCTAGAAAACAATTTGGGAAACATTGCTATATCTGCAGGATCCCAAACATCTGTCCGTGGACCAACTGAAGATTCCTCAGCTTCAGCACAGACTCATTTGAATAGAACTCTCCCAAAGAGAGGCAGAAATACAGATTTTTATTTATTTTTATTTTTTTTTAAAGATTTTATTTTTTATTTATTTATTTGAGAGAGAATGAGAGATAGAGAGCACGAGAGGGAAGAGGGTCAGAGGGAGAAGCAGACTCCCCGCCGAGCAGGGAGCCCGACGCGGGACTCGACCCCGGGACTCCAGGATCACGACCCGAGCCGAAGGCAGTCGCCCAACCAACTGAGCCACCCAGGCGCCCAGAAATACAGATTTTTAAAAACAAGATTCGTGGAGACTTGTGATACCCACTTTGGAAGCTACCATACTATTCAGTTATGATGATCATGCATTATGGTGATGATCTTCCTTTATAACTGAAAGCAGTAGTAACCTTTTTTTTTTTTTAAGTCAGTAGTAACTTATTAGGGATTGTGCTTGGACATTGTACCTGTGCTTTAAGTTAGTACTAAATTTTCAGGAAATTTATTGTGCTAATTCAGGAAGCATTTAAAAAAATACTTTCCAATTCCATGAATTCATTCTGTGAGCATAAAATCAATCTTAGTGTGTTGTATGTTTAAGCGTTTTCACTTTGACAAATCCAAAACCTTTATTTTTTTTAAATTTTTTTCTAAAGATTTTATTTATTTGAGAGGGAGAGAGAGAGAGCACAAGCAGGGGGAGAACCAGAGTGGGAGGACAGGGACAAGCAGACTGCACTGAGCACGGAGCCCAACATTGGCCTGGATCCCGGGCTCCCCCAAGATCAAGACCTGAGCCTGAGCCAAAACTAAAGAGTCAGATATTCAGCTAACTGAGCCACCCAGGTGGCCCCCAAAACCTTTATTTTTTTACTGATTCTACTCAATAAAACTTTAATATAATTTAATATGTATTACATCAAATATCTGGGCTAATATTAAAATCAGTTCATTTTAATGAATAATTTACTTTAGGTCTTTTCCTTATTAGGATGTATGGTCTCCTGAATACTGCTGAAAATAGTAATGCTAGTAATGTCACTGTAAGCTACCAGAGGATGTCAATTACTATATTTGGACCTACTTGCTCAGTACCAATGAGAAAAACATGATTCTATGATATTCATTTGTCTTGCAATTAATATGAAAGTCTACTAGCCACAGTTTGGTATATCACATGCCTAATCTCCATTTATGTCTAAATTGTGAGTAAACCAGTAACATTTTTTTAAAAAATCAAGCATTTAAGAGAATTCATTTTCTTCATGTAATTCATGTGTATCTATATATTTGTCTTCAATAAACCCATCGTCATCTATCACAAATGAATGTAGTTGTTCAAATATTACTGTAGTTTCTTCAGAGTTTGTATCTGGGGCCTGTGAAGGAGAACTTGAATTTCCAGTAAAACCATCTTCATAGGCTTCTGCTTCATGCTCTTCCAGGTGGTGATGATTGTAACTAAGCAGAAAATTATACCATATTGGGCATTTCATAGCAACAAAAATGAGGAATGAAGTCATCAGTACAGTGACTACCACACCAACAAGAAAAGCCCAGCTTTTTCCAAGTTTATGTTCTTAATTGGAATACCGAGAGAGAAAGAGAGAGAGATTTTGTTAAATTGACAAAAATAAAATAATCATTAATCATATGTCCTAATAACTCCATAATATTGGTATTAGAAATAAACATTATAATTTTTTTTAAGCAAAAGTTACTAAAACCACAAGATATTTCAAAGTGTGCTGAAAAAATACCTTTTTTCCAAAATAACTACTTGTCTTTGCAGGTATTGTTTATCAATTCACCAAAGAACATTATTGATTTATACTTGTTAATAATTATGACTTAATTGGTCAAAACCAAGACTCAGAAAAGTTAAATAAGTTGCATAATGGCATTTGGATGGTAACTAGCAGAGCCTAGTTTGGAAACTTAGTATTTTGTAAATCTTTTGTTGAGATGAGGAATTGTTCTTTTACATTGTTTCTAGAAATTTAAAATTTAGAAAAATTAAAACTACTTCAGTTTATTTAGTATACTGCCTTCAGCAATATTAATATTAAAAACCAGTACATTACCTGAGTTTTTTAAGTTGTTCAAAGAGCTATTAAATGTTGAGTTGCTAATGGACTGAAAATGGTTATAAAGATCTTCATTTATAGGTGGAGGAAATTTTGAATAGCACTCAGCATTATAAGGTACTGTTTTGATACTGTAGTACATCAGGATATCTGGGTAGGTGCACGTGGTGATGTTCTCATTTTCTGGTAAATCAGAATAAGATTTATTATGGAAATAGGATTATTATAGTTAATAAATTATTATAGCTAACATTTTATAATTATTTTTACCTAGAATTTTTTAGTAGACCTGTCATTATTACAGATTATAAGAAACTCTTGTATTTGCCTAGCAACACAAGAAGGGAAAGATTCACCTTCTTGTTTATTAAGTTATTTTACAATATATATGGTTTAAATGCAGTATCTGTTTATTGTTTAGTTTGTGTTAGTAAAGATGTTATGATTAAGATTGTGATAAAAATTGATCTCGGGCAGAGCATGGTTTTCAGTTAAGAAAATAGGGCACCTGTTTTTACCTACTATCTGGCAAGATATCCTAAAAAAAGGAAATACTGAAAAAAAAATTACTCTTATGTATTTGTATTCAAACTTCAAACTTAACACTTGAAGTGACAGTATCATCTCACATATATAGAACATTTAAATTTCTTTTCTTCTCCTTTTTTTTTCCCTAAAAGGCAGAGGAAGAATATCTATTCAACAATTATTTTTCAGTGTTTCTTCCTGCTTCCCTTAAACAGGAATAGTTTCTTTTTCTTTAAAACATGAAATGAGAGACTTTCTTGGGGTGGGACAGGAAAAAATCAGTCACATTTTGGTTTTGATTAATTTAAATAATGTTAGCTTACCTAGTGTCACATTTGATGTGTTCAACCAGTTCTGCAAATTCAGTAGACTGCAAGAGCAGTTCCATGGATTTCCATATAAAATTATTAATTCCAGATGAAACAGTTGTGGTACATCAAAATAGCTTATGAAATTGCCTTGCAGATTCAGAAGTATCAGGTTTTTTAGAGGCACAAGTACATCAGGATTCAGTTGAAATATTTTGTTTTGACAGAGATGTAACTGTTTTAGTTTATTTAAGCCCATGAACGCACCCTGTTCAATTACGTGGATGGAGTTTCTACAGATATTTAAAATTTCTAGATTGGAGAGGTTACCAAAGCCATTATTATATAACATAGTGACATTGTTCTCAGTCAAATAGAGTTCAGTGAGTAAAAAATATGTTTGTAGAACCCTGGTGTCTGTAATATTCAAAGTAATTTGGTTGTAACTGAGATCAAGTATAGTAACATTTTTATTGATATCTGCTGGAATCAAAGAATAATTCTTTTTGGTGAAATTACATTTGACTTCCTAAAAAAAATTAGAAATGCATTAATTAGGAAAAATACTAACAGAATTTCCCACATTTTCATATTCAGGTAATTAGACATTGGCAGGAAATAGTTTTGTTTTGTTTTTAGGTGGGGGAGGGGGAGAGGGAGATCTCACAATCCTGTGATCATGACTTGAGCTAAAATCAAGAGTTGGATGCTTAACCGACTGAGCCACCCAGGCACCCCTGGAAGAAAATAGTTTTAGCAAAACATTACCTCTCTAATATTTTAATGTTATATTGTGAAAAAAGTAAAGCAAATACTTTTATTTCTTCATTGGGATGAAATACTGAAGATTAAGGAAATTCTGATACATGTACCTGAGCTAAGAGATTCTAGTTAATCATATAGGTATCTTCTGTTATTACATACTCATTACAGAAAGAATGTGGGTATAATTTCATTACCTATGTGGAAATACATGGCAAATAATTCTCTTAACTCATATTTGTACATGATTTATAATGAAATTACTTTAAAATTTGTTTTTAAAAATCAGAGCTACCAGCACTACACATAGGCTATTAAATAATTAAGAAATAATACTCAATATATAACTGTATATAGGGTTAACAACTCAAGGTTTGGTGTTTTAAAAGAAAATACTTATTTTTTTAAGTGATCTCTATAGCCAATGTGGGGCTTGAACTCATAACCCCAAGATCAAGAATCAGATGCTCTACTGACTAAACCAGCCAGGTGGCCCCAGAAAATATTTTATAACAGAAATTGAACCATTGGGGTGCCTGGGTGGCTCAGTCGTTAAGCGACTGCCTTCAACTCGGGTCATGATCCTGGAGTCCATGGGTCGAGTCCCGCTGCAGGCTCCCTGCTCGGCAGGGAGTCTGCTTCTCCCTCTGACCCTCCCCCTCTCATGTGCTCTCTCATTCTCTCTCTCTCTCTCAAATAAATAAAATATTTTAAAAAAATAAAATAAAAAAACAAAAGAAATTGAACCATTTATTGATTGAATTTAAGAGCCAGCCAACATGAATTGCTTTCCTTATGTGGCTATAGATCTAAAAAATAGTTCTTATTTTGACTGTTTTTGCAGTTCAAATATCCCTATAATAATAGTAATGCAACAACAATAATTTTCCTCATAAGTATGTGATTTTTAAAAAACCTTCCCTACATTTTAAAGAGTGGTGTTTAGGGGCGCCTGGCTGGCTTGGTCGATAGAATGTATGACTCTTGACCTCAGGGTCCTGAGTTTGAGCCCCATTTTGGGCACAGAGATTTCTTTAAAAAATAAATAAATAAAACATAAAAGAGTGGTATTTATATCCTGAAACTAATCTCAGATTTTATAGTGAAAATTTACAGACTTCTTTAACCAACTGTTAAAGAACTTAGTTTAAATAAAATGAAGACTGCTGTCAGATTAGAGTCTAGCTCACATATCACAGATTTTGAGTATATACAGCTAACCAATTAGTTTTGATAGCTTAGATTTTTTTTTTTTTGCTTTAATTGCCTTGGGATATTTTACTAAATGTACACAAAGTATGCCTTTGAAAATATTTTCACTACCTTGATTGTAAAAACTTACTGTTTGAGAAGACTGGCTTTCATCTGATAATAGCATAGAGAGGGGCCAAAACAAGATTGTGACGCATGTAGTTTTCATATTGCAGGCCTGATAGAAAAGAGAATATTTTCATCTCAATAGGAGAAGAACTTTAGAGAGTATTGAGGATATTTTGATTTCTCCTTTTCTCCTTTTAAATCCATTTTTTCTTAAAACATATGAAATGTGAAACACATACATGTTCCCACACCCTCCCTGCACTCTAATCTTAAAGTGGAAAGTCCCTGGCAAATGAAAGTGTTTTTCGAATGTCTCGTTAGTTCCTGGATCGATTGAAAAGAACTTTAAAACAAGTGAAGTGGTTGTATATTTAAAATTTTTAATATATGTGTATGAAAGAAAGTCAAGACTATATATTTAGGTGTATGTACATGTTTAAGTATATGCTTATGTAGCTATTTTTTGGTTTTTTATTTTTAGACATTGTCTATTGATATAATCTGTTGACTTAAAACTGTGGGAGATGAGAGCCTTCAGCTCTTTTTCAGACACTCCCTACCTTCATCTTCAATCCATTGAATTTATGCTTTCTATCTCTTCATTCTACAAACATAGTTACTTATAATTTTGGTCTTTTTCCATCTTGGAAATTTGTTTTTAAGTTAATGTCACTTTCAGAATGCTCTGTGATTAGCATATTTCAGAATAAAAAGATCTTATAAATTTGATTAGATGAAACCTTTTTTTTCCCAAAAGAAAATTAATTACTTTATATTACATTATAAATGTATTTGGAAAAGACTTTTTGACCACATCTCAGGTTTATATTTCTAAGGTGGATCATAGGAAGATATAATTATATTTTCTGCTCTTTCATCCCGTATTAAAGAAAGATTTTTGTAGATTAACAAACCTAAATATGGTTTGTTTGTTTTAAATTCACCAGCAACCATCAAACCTATAAATATATGGGATCTTACCTTTACTTTTTTCTTTTCTCTGAGACTTGTGTGCTAAGGAATCTACTGTTTCTTCTAGACCATTAAAAAAAATATGTCATATGTTGCATTACACTATGCTTTAACCTTTGTACCCAACGAACACGTGATTTAAAAAAAAAAAGCCAGCCTTTCTTAGCAAAAGATTGACTAGAAGAATAATTTCTTAGTCATCTTTGACTTTTTTAGCATAACAAGTTAAATGCTTTGCTTAACCTTTGTGTTTCTTAATTACTCTTGAAAAGTGTAAATATTAGCAAATTTACTTTGCAAGTTAAAGTATATAATATTAAAAAATGCATACTTGGGAAGATATATTGCTAAAGTGATTTAAAGTTAGTCTTAAAGGTATTTCGTGTTTAGAAAGATTCAAGTTGAAAAGATAGCCCCCGAGTTTTGAATTCCGGTTTCAAGTTTGTTTACTCATTTTTATGACACTGTCATTGGTGGATTTACTGCCAAGTTATAATAGGAGCAAGTGCTCAAAGCATCAAAAGACCTAACGCTGGCCATATTGTGGCCCTCAAAAAATGAGTTACGTTCCTTGTGCTGCAGCTTCCCCTCTGTAAAATGGAATACTGTATAACCCTAGGCAAAAACGTGGTTAAGATTCATTGTTGATAGTGAATAATCATGGAGTTCAGAATGAGTTAGTTCCAAAAGATTAACTCCCATGAGCCTCAGTATCCTTAATCTATGAAACAAAAAGATTGAAATTGATGACCTTGCCTGCTTGACAGTTCTGTGAGCCCATAAACCCATGTAAATTCAGCAGCAAACACGTTTGTTACACGATTGTAATTGAAGTTCAAAGAGAAGATATCACTCCTTGTCAATAGACAAAAATAAATAGAAATTCCAGGTTGTTTGTCTGATTTTGTTCATCTTTTATTGGGTTATTATGAGATGTTGTTTAGGAAAATTTCTGAGTTTAGATTGTTTTATTCTGGCAGTGTAAAAAAATGTGTGGGGAATATGTGAATCTGTAGGGCTTAGAGAGTGATTGTGAAAACTATTAGTTGATAACTACATGTGAAAGATTAAATAGTAGAATACTATTTTGAAACTCAAAAATTTTGATATTTAGACTAAACATTTATCTTCAATTAGTCTTTTTAGTCTTGAAGTATTTACATGATAACTAGCATCTTTTTTTTTTTCAAAATTCTAGAGAATTTTTTTACAATTCTAGAGAAAAATTCTATCCTATTGATAATTGACCTTGCTTAGTAATAAGTGGCACATCACTGGTATTTCTTATGATTATATGATAAAGATGGTTATTGCTTATAATTAATGACTTTCTTTTATATGGTTATACTTGTGATACTCGTGTTACGTTTTTGGAGACACTAACTTATTTTGCACCGCTAAAATATAGTTGATAAGTTTTGGAATACCAATTTTAATTAAAGTAGTAGGTAAGCAAAATATATTATTAATCTAAAGTTACGATTTTTTTTTTTTTATCAAATTGAACTGTAGGTCTCCCTACTCTCAGATCAGTCAGAGCTGTGTTACTTTATATCATTTACATGGTGAACTACAATACAAGATTTCATTTGGTCAAAGAATCTGTAGCTAAAAGATGTTTGAAAAATCACTATTCTAAAATTGTCTTATTTGTCTTGAGGGTATGACAGAGTTGTAAATACATCCTCATATGTGCAAGGCTTTAGGGATTTTTCTGTGATAATCTTTGTGTTTTCTTATAAGAAAGTAAAATGAGTAGTAAGGAAATAGAAGGATTTGGGGATTGAGAAGAGAAAGATGTAAAATAAGTCTGTGCTGATGGGGAGTTTTTTTTTTTTTTGGAAGTGTAAGGGATTTTCATATTGTCTTAATTTTTAACTGAAGTATAGTTGACACATAATGTTAATTTAAGTTTCAGGTGTACAATGTAGTGATTCAACAGTTCCATATGTTATGCAATGTTCGCCACAAGTTACCATTATCATACAGCACTATTACAATACTGTTGACTATATTACTTATGCTGTACTTTTTTTTTTAAAGATTTTATTTATTTATTTGAGAGAGAGAGAGAAAGCACATGAGATGGGAGGAGGGTCAGAGGGAGAAGCAGACTCCCTGCCAAGCAGGGAGCCCCATGCGGGACTCGATCCACGGACTCCAGGATCATGACCTGAGCCGAAGGCAGTCGCTCAACCAACTGAGCCACCCAGGCGCCCTATGCTGTACTTTTCATCCCTGAGACTTACTCATTCCATAACTAGAAACCTGTACCTCCCACTCCCCTTCACCCATTTTTGCCCATGCCCCACCCTCTTCCCTCTGGCAACCACCAGTTTGTTCTCCAAATAGAATTTTTTGTATATCTATAAGGATTACAAACTATGTTGAATAACTTTACCCTATTTAGTTGGGACTATGACCTCAGTAAAATTAATTGATGTTATTCCCCTCAATGTAGTAAGAGGAATATTGGATACTTTTGATTTCAGGAAGGAAAAACAAATTAGAAGTGTAGAAGAAGAAGTTGAACAGGAAAAACAAGCAGCAGATGGCATTATCAAAAACATGTCTCCTGAAAAACAAGTCAAGTACATAGAAATGAAAACCACAAATGAGAAATTGTTGCAGGTAATACTAATCACTACTTCGTCCAGCATATAGCAGTCTTGCTACTATATGGTCTGAAGATGGACAGCATTGACATCCCTGAGAACTTGACTAGACTTGCTGATCAGAATCTTAATTTAACAAGGTCCCCAGATACTTCATATGGACGGACATTTAAATTTTGAGAAGCACTAATCTAGAAAACATCATTTTCTTATGCTGCATGATGACTAAGTCTTACTGTATTATTTGTTCATTTCTATGCATCTTTCACTTTTGCATGTCATCCAGATACATGAAAACACTTGGGGTTTTTTTAATGAACTGTTAATAGAAATAATAAAAAACCTCATATACCAGAGCCATAGGGATATTTACTTTCTTTTTTTCCTACCTAATAAGCAGCACATCTTTTACTTTGTCCTTGATTTGAACAGCTCTTCCCTCCTGATCATAGTGTTTAAGCAATTTGGGAGCCTGCTGAGGGGTTATTGAGAATTCTTCCAACATTCAGGCATGGTAGTGACTCAGATTTGCAAGTTAGTACCCTTACATACCCAGATAACCCTTAACTAAACAGTAAGCAGAGAATTAGTCCCCAAAAATGCCAAAAGTGAATGTAGTTCTGGTTTCTCAGATATAACTTTATTGACAATTTAACATAACTATTTTAGTCAGGATTTATAAGATACAATGAAACACTGAAGAAAGAGTATTATAGAAATGCCAAAATACCATCAAAATATAGTTAATCTTGCCCAGTGGTTTTTGAATAATAATCAGCTTAAAAGTCTTGTCCCTAGGAGTGAGCCATGTAAATTACTATATGTCTTGGCCCTAAAAGAAATTAGGCAAAAGATATGGAAACATGGTTTTAAAAAATCAAAGTTAACTTTAAACAATAACATCATTAATTTGAGGGCTTCTGATATTTAATATTTTCGAAACACAGTGATGATTCACTGTGAAAAGGTCTGGCTACCTTTGACAAGCTCAAAGTATTTCTTTAAAAGTAGATCATGGTAATGTTTTTAGGAATAATGAAAGAAATTGGCAAAGATAGAAATAATGTTAATAAATTCTAGTCAATAGCAAGATGAGAGTCAAATATGTTTATAACGTTTACTTTGTCACATCCATGTTTGAAATGCTAAGAAACAGATATTCTAAATATAACTTGTATATATATTTACTTTTTTCCTTTTTCTTAGGAGTTAGACACACTTCAGCAACAACTAGATTCACTGACCATGAAAAAAGAGAGCTTGGAAGCTGTAAGTATAAAATCAAATAAGGGTTCTTATATTACTCAGCTACAAAAGATAATTCAGCTAAATAAAAGGAACTCATTCAAGTATGTATTTATTTTAGTAGTTTACTACGAGGAGTATAATTTTTTTCTCATTCAGCACCACAAATATCCTACTTTGGTAAGAAATTAGATTCAGTTACTGAGTACCTACTGTGTGCAAAATCATCCTGCCTTGCTGAGGCATGCAAAATCTAATGGTAATTTAA